TTTTTTTTTTTTTTTTTTTTTTTTGGCCTGGCTGCGAGACAGAGATTCCCTTCTCTTTTTGCTCCGTGAGAGACGAGAGGGGACTATCTGCTCAATGGTTTGGTCAGCTTCCGTCCATGACCGGCTAACAAGTATAAACAGCCTCAGAGGTAGTGATCATTTTCCTGTGTAAACGCATGCCTTGTTATGAATGTGCTCATTTTGCCCCTAACTCTAGGGGTATCGAATGGTCTTTACGAGCATTTGCAAGCATGCGAGCAGTGCGTTTATGTGAGCACTAGCAGTGATCAGATTTGTCTTGCGAGTAGCGAGCACTTCGCAAATTTTCCGCTAACAATTTAATTCAATTTAATTTTAATTTATAACTCTCAGAAACATTAATTTTACAGAGGTGTCAGAAAAAAAAATAGAATACATATAAATATACAGAAATTACATATAGACGATAATAAATAGCATTAATGAAATAATTTAAAGTTTAAAGTTTATCAAAAAATAAAGTGTTAAAGAGAGAAAGAAAAGGAGATAAAGGAAGATAAATAGTTCTAGCCGAAATCTCTATGTTATTACTAGAAGGAAACGTTGTTTTGGCTGTTTTTAGTCTGGCTCACACACGAAAAGCTACATGTAGGCAACAAATCACTTCACGTAACTTCACGTAAGTCAGTGGGTGGACGCTCAAGGAGATCTGTTAAAAAGCTTTCTAACCCGAATTTGTCAACACACCACAAGAAGAGGCTAAAAGCTAGCAGACTAACACTGACCCTAAGGATTCTCAAAATTTCGAGCAATCGAGTACATTTTATTAAACGAGAATCCTAGCATCCTAGCAAACATTTTGCCAACACGAGCAAGCGAGCACTCATCTAATTTTTGCGAACAATTCGAGCAAAGGTCCAATTTTGCTAAAATTGAATGGGACCAGTCGATACTCCTAGCTCTCAGGGATTCTCTTTTTCCTCCTCGTGAAGAGAAGAGAGATCCCGGGAACGTGGTTGCTCATTCCTCTTATTTCACAACATGATCTCGAGACCGAAATTACGAGACAATTTGTTATTTACCTCTACAGTTATGATCATCATAATTTCGGTCTCGAGATCGGGGTACTTATTTTCCTTGAAGCAATGTCTGAAAGCGAAGACAAAGCAAGATGTGGTCTACCTCAGTGGTTACCCATTCCACGCAACGATACTGCTTCCTTTATGAATGATGTTGTCCTGTGCGCCGTCAATGTACCTTTCTGTGTCTTTGCTTTTCTTGGAAACCTGGCTGTCATTGTAGCTGTTGTCAAAACACCTTCTCTGCAAAGACCGTGCAATATTCTGCTATGCAGTCTGGCCACTACTGACTGTTTAACCGGTTTGATATCTCAGCCGATATTTGTTGCATGGCGTTTGGTGATTCACCGCATCCATGAATCTTGCGATCATCAGGCTGAAATGCTTCAAGCTTTTACTGTGGGTCAATCAGCTTTAGCAGGATGGTCCTTCGTCAATGTCACCCTGATCAGCTTTGACCGCCATTACGCGCTCGCAAAGCCTATGGTGTACCGTACATCCATGACGAAGGAAAGTAATAATTTTCAAATGATTTTCTAAAAATAAAATTAATTTTATTTGCCAGCAAATAAAAGCGTTTATGGCTTCTACCCACGCTCCCGGCGTTACTTTAAACATAGTGTTAATTTTCAACCAAGAGTTTAAGATAACGAGGCAAGGCTGGGAGTACTGAAGGGTCGAACTAAATGGGGACGGGATCACAAAGTACAAACTTGATGAGCAATAATCACAAGACCATCACAAGACAATTTTGCGATCTCGATAACAATAGCGAATTCATTGGTAATAGTCACGAGTTTCACTGGAAAATAACGTAGCCTCGCTCTCAGCGATCGTTATAAGACGTGGCTTGTTTCTCGAGTTCGTCCTCTTTGTCTCCAGACCTGACACACTCAGCGAGTTCGACCCTCCTCCTC